TATATATATATATATATATATATATATATATATATATATATATATATATATATATATATATATATATATATATATATATATATATATAATTTTTACAATCTAAACTAGACTGTGCATCGCCTTTTAAACCATAATCTTGCTTTATAACGCTGCCTACACACCCTAAATGTTTGTCCTTCCGTCTGTGCGTTTCCCACTAAATTAAGCGGGAGCACTATATTTGTGTTTAAGTCATGTGATCTCACGTGACCTGACGTCACGTGGCCTATGCACCAATTAAGGATTACCACCGAAGTCGGTCGAGAATGTCACAAATGGGGACATATACGCCGATTCATCTTCCCCGTTAAGTTCAGCGTGGAAATTTACGTCGTGTGACCAGATGAAATGTCTCATATATATCACTTTAATTTCCCACCTATATCTAGCGGGAAAATCGACGCGAAGCAGACCAATACAACAACCTAGGTTCCCCACTAAATTTAGGGGGAAATTGACGTCGCGTGTCTTATGTACCTTGTTTCATGTTGAATGTAGTTAAGATATTGGAAAACTAAGGGTTCTTCTTCACTCGCCAAAACGACGGTTTGATATATTCTAAACCATTTCAAACTATTCCAACTTAACTATTGTACTTCAGGCATAAAAGAATTTGGACACAAAGCTCAATGTAAATCTTAGGCCTCTTTGAGCGCTTAATAATTGCAACAATCAAAACTGTAAAAAAAAAAAAAAAGATAGCTCGGCTAGGCTTACGTAATTAAACTTAAAGGCGGAAACGCGATGGGCACATAGTACTGTTTTTATATATAATCGCGGGTCGACAAACAGCATATTATGCTGACATTACTTCTACTAATGCCGATCCGTCTTGCCACTTTTGTATACTAAACAGCTCTTGACTGGAACCACCTTTTATGCCCATATTGGGTCGGAAAAACGGGGAGGGGGGCGCGGTTGTTGAAAAGCATAAAATGCTTTTTAACAGGACACCACAACCTAACACTTCGACCGTCCCTCCCTCCCATAGAGTTATTATAATGTACGCTAGAGGTTCAACTGGCGCTAGTGTCTACGCGACTTCCGGGAGGCAAATTGAAGCAGACAGCAACCAGTCTACTTTTGCGGCGCTCCTGTGCATTCCTATGGGAAAACGCGCGTGAAATTTGTCTCTTCGCCGGAAAATAACATGAATAACTTTTATTATTTCGGTTGTACCGGATAGTGTGTACATTTATTAACATTGTAAAAGTGTAATTGCTTTAATTACAGCATTTTTCTTTACCACTGAACGATGTTAAGCTTCGCTATATTTCAGGCCCAAACCTATGTTTCATGGCAGGTATGTAAAAACGAGCGACGATTCTAAGCAAACTAACGATCGAAAAGAATGTAGAGTGTGTTCAAGGTTCGCTAGCATTGCAGTGGCGCTTATATATTGCTAATATGCCCGTCCTGTCACTCTATGACAATGACTCCTTCGTGCTTCTTTACGACGGTTAAAAAACATTTGAATATAAGAAATAAAGTACGTGGACTACGAAAGGTGTGCCTTTTTATTATTTCCTATGCCGGGCAGTTTTTATCGGGCACCTATTCTCTGACTTCTCCCTATTTGCAAAGATTTGGAGCGTGCGCAGGCGTGGGGTTGATGATTGGAACCCAGAACATGCATCTTTGCACATATTCATGAGCAGAAAGAATAAAGCAGCACTTATTTATTGCAAAATTTATTTGGATCACCTGCATGCACAATTAGTTACTTATCCAGTGTTACTGCATAGTTCTTGCCGCCTCTCTTGGTTTTCCACGTGTCTTTCGTTCGTTTGACACGTATATCCCCCATGGTGGAAAGCACCGGCCCCGTGTTCGCGCTAACAGTGTCCGACAGTGCACATAAATACATGTACGAAGCGGTTTTAGCACCGCTTTTCATGCCACGAATTTCAAATAAAAACGCCGTAACTGACCAATTATTTTGTCTGCGTGACTGAGAAATGTTCCAATGTGCCAGTACGTACGAAATATTCGTGATATTTGCTCTTATAACCGAGCGCAGCGAGAAAATGCACTCGCTTTTTCCCATAGAAATGCATTACCGGAAGTCAATTTCGGACTGGTTGCTGTCTGCTTCAATTTGCAGCAGCACACTAGCGCCAGTTGAACCTCTAGCGTACATTATAATAACTCTATGCTCCCTCCCCCCCCCCCCCCCCCCCCCCCCCCCCCCCATTCACACTGGAAGCGGATCCGCGTTCGCGAAGCGGTTGCGAAAGCGGTTGTATAAAGATCCAGTGCATTTGCACGCGCATTTGATGTCATCGTGTGCGCGTGCAATTGTACTGAATCTTTATACAACCGCGTTCGCAACCGCTTTGCGAACGCGGATCCGCTTCCAGTGTGAATGAGCCCTCCATCCGGACATCATCCGCGAAATTTAGCAGGAACATCGACCTCACATGACATACTACACCAATTCGATTTCCCCGCTAAATTTAGCAGAGAAATTCAACGTCACGTTCCTATGACGATGATTGTGGGCAAATATAAGCTGCGAGCTCTTCGTGAAAGTCGAGCGCGAGGACGGAAGAGCGGCAGGGTTCGAAGCAAGCAGTCGCACCGCGACCCACGGCTACAGCCAGAGCTCCGAGAATACCAGCCGCAACGGTTGGCAACGGGAGCCCAGTCAGCGCCGGGCGTAAACGAGGTGTGCTGCTGCGAACAGCACCAGGAGAAGCGCGCTGCACCCGCACCCATATCATTACCTCAAGCTGCGAACGTCCGAAAGGCGCCGTGGATTGACACTTCAACTGGAATCGAGAATTGCAACGGGATGGTTTCCAGTCGTTACTCTAATGTATTAACTTTCTTCTTTGCTCTCCTTTTCTAGTCCTAATTCCTCTCATTGTTTCGCTTGTAATGTTTTTCCCGTCTTTCTTTTGTTTGCAAATACACAATTTCTCTTTGATTTAGCATCGCCATCGTAGTTTTCTTTCTCTCAGACGAACGTGATAGTTACCTATATAACAACTTAGTTTCCCGCTAAATTTAGCGGGGATAAATGCATCACGTGACAAACCAATTTGTTCTCCCCAACCCTTTCCTTCTTTCCCTTTCTCATCCTCCCCTTCCTGCAAGGCTGCCTTGTCGTCTTCCCCATCCTCCCTTTCTTCACGCTGCCCATTCTGCCCTTCTCAGCACTACTGCATTGCCGCCCCCCCCCGACTAACTCTCCCTCCCAACTCCTCCCTCCCTCTCCCCCCATTTTTCTACAATGGTGAGGGTGGCCTCCCTCCCCCTTCCTTCTTTTCCCTTCCTCCTCACCCTTGGTCATGGGACAGAACAATGAATTCACCCCTTCCCAGTTGTTGCCCCGGTGACTCGACACTCCAATCCACCCTTTTCCCGTGATGTGGCGCCAATTACCTGATTGTAACTGCGTTCGAAGATTTCTTGGGTAATACACGGGCGCCATTATTGCCCGTTGCTAAGTTTGCCCGTTGCTAAGTTTGTTTTCCAGCACGTTGGCTTTCTGTTGAGTTTTTGTGGCTCCGCTATTTTTCGCTGACAACTGAGGATCTCTAAAGACGTCCCCCAGTTTCATCTCAACGGCTGGATGGAGAAGTTACCTCAGTTCGTGCGCCTTTTGCAAGACAAAGTGTGGCGATACTTCCTCTACAAGGCGGACTCGCTCTGACAGGCCCACCGATGATGGGCTTTAAAGAAAGAGGGTTACGTCCGCAAAGTTACGTTTAACCCCCCAGACGGTTCTTGGATACTCCTCGTCCGAAGTGCTTCCGTCGATGAAGAAGGCGCCGTACGCGGTATCGGCGTGCCTCTCGAGAAGCACCGAGAGCTTCATGGACGGCACTGGTAGGCTGTTACTTCCTGCATTTAGTGCTCGCACGATGTTTCTATCGCTTGCACCAATGGAGAGTGTCGTTGTTTTGTGTCAACGAACACAGTCGGTACAAAATATCTGGGTGCTGTTTGTTCAGCGATAGTTTTCGTGTGTAACAAATCGGCAATGAAACAATGACTCAACTTTATTTTCTAAGGTGCGATTAGAGTAACTGACCTGTGACGAAGTGACGTCCAGAAACTGTGAACCATCATAATGTTAAAATTCTGAGACTGGGAAGGAAACTTGAAAGGAAATGTGTAAGAAGACACAGAAAAAAGTCTACAGGACAAACGCCCCGAACTGAAACTTGACAGATGTTTACTGTAAGCGACTTTATTTTTGCGCTCTCGATATTTCGCAAATTTTGGAGAATATTTTCGCAGGCAGAAAATTTCACGATTAGAAGTCGTTTGCTATCTGTTCTTTACAACAGGGTAATATAATCGAGGTAAAATATAAAGCGAGATATTGGAGAAAATTATGTTGTTTACAGTAGTCGGGAGTCCTCATTTGCCTCACAAGTCTTTAAGGGCCTGAAGTGTCAACATCTTCACCGCACGAACCCACGCCGCTCTTCCATCAAAGTCCAAATTCTCCAAAAGAAACCAATAAAAAGAAAATACTCGTCTACTCCCCAGGTTGGTGCCGGCTTTGACATCCACACCATTACAGTGCTTTGGCATCACTCAAGCGTACCGGGAATCACACGGCGCCGCTCGGGTCAAGCATAATTGCAGCCCTGTCCCCCCCCCCCCCCCCCCCCGGCCCAATCCGGCGTCGCAACACGTCCTTCGTGTAATCGCAAACCGGCAAGCCGGAAAAGGGTGGATTTCGCTTCCCCAATAATTAAAATAACATAGCTTTTAATGTCTTCCGAATGATTGAAATAATCCCCTCTAAATACTGAACTTTGAGCCTTATAGAACTTTAAAAATAACAGTCGATGATACCTTTTTTTTGGTTTCGTTTAAGTGCTTTACTTTTGACAGCAATTAACCCATCACCGGTAGCGATGAAGCTTTTGAATGTAGTGCTGATACAATATTCAGTGGCTTTAACATTATCTACCCGGAGCCAAGCTTCCTCGAGATCCCACCTGTAAATGCTGGAGATGATCCAATTGTAGATTCCTCATTACGTTGAATACTTGGATCGACGATATGAGCACGCTGAGGGCGAGGATGTGTACGCTCACGGTGGTCGACGCACTTGTACCAAAGGAACCCTGGGTGTCTACCAAAAGGACTGCCACCTTTTTCTTATCTGCGGTGGTGGCCCTGAACAGGTGACTCCAAAACACGATGCCCTCGGTGTGTGGGTCACTACCGGACATCCAGGGAAAGCCTTCCAGTGGCTTATCCGGATCGCCCAGCCAGTTCTTGAATTGGAGGAAAGGAAACCTGGAAAGGCAACAGAGTAATAGATCGTAAGTTAATTGTTCCGATAACGATACACTGCACGCGCAACGGCATAAACGGAAATCGGGTATCCTTATCAGGGTTGTCAGAACGATCTACTAAAACTCTTTATGAGAAGGCGTTCTTGAGGTGTCCGATATGACATTGCGATTTCACCGACCACCTGAGTTACGTATCCAGGTTTGCAAGTACGGCCACAGGGCGCCGACATCTTGCTCAATCGGGGTGCGCGTGGGCGCGGGTCATAATCAGATTACGACGCCTTGCTAAGGCGTTGTAATCGCATTCTGACCCGCGCCCAAGAGCACCCAACTGAGCAAGATGGTGGCGCCCTGAACCCGTATTTGAAAACGTGTATTCAAGGCAATATCTTGGTTGAAACCGGAGGTATGATGATAAAGTGAAGTACGAACAAGATTCATTTTTGACAGAAAAAAATAGAGGGCAACATATTGATGGTCAAGGCAAATTGTCAGAAACCACAGGTGTGATTATCTGTGAATTCGATAGCATTCATCGGTTCACACTACCTAGAGGACGACCTCTAGGAAGACCTCAAGGACGACGTCGACATCCTCAGGTCCTCCGAAGAGGGTGCGAATTTAAAGGAGTGCGTACTGCCACTCTGCATACGCGCGGCGCAATGGTGTGCAATCACAGTCAGTTAACGCAGTCTTCAAATGCCAATAAAAGACCAATAGGATAGCCGGTAGTACACCCCCCTCTATGTAGAAAAAAATGCCCCGGAAAAAAAATTCCCGGAAAAGATGTCCCCGGAAAAATAGTCCCGGGACAAAATGTTCTCGGTAAAAAAGGCCGCAGTTGGAAAGTATAAAAAATGTCCCCAATGGATTCTCCATCTCTGGGCTTCCCTGATCCTCGTGGCCTTCGGGCGGTCCGCTTGGGAACGCGACAGAACAGCACACGACAAAACAACACGCGACAAAACAGCACGCGTCAAAAGAGCACGCGTCAAAATAGCACGCGACAAAACAGCGCAACGTCAAAACGGCACAACGACAGAAGTCTGCGTGCCAAAACAGCACGGCGTAAAAACAGCATAGCGACAAAACAGCACGCATGTAGCAACTTCGAACGCGCTTTTTAACTCTCTCTGCGCGAATAACTTCGTACCTCCTTCATCATTTCATTTATTGTCGCTAGGTTATAAAGGAATGTATTCCATATTTCAGCGCTTACCAAACTCCGGAACCCGGAGACCCCCCAAAATATAAAATATCGGGAAAAAGTCAAGAGACGGTCGCTCGAGAGCTATTGGAAGCATTCTTTATAAAAAAAAAAAAAAAAGTGGGACAGCATGTGCCAGCGACATGTCTATTGTACTTCATACTAATGAATTTAGTTTTTGAATGATCGGGTACAAAATTAATAAACTTTTACGTGGTGCTGGTTTGCCTGTCGTGTATATATATATATATATATATCAGTGTGTCGAACCGAAAAAAATACGGGTTCGGTTACGGTTCAGGTTCAGGTAAATTTATTTTGTTCCGGTTCAGTTCCGGTTCGCGAACCGGTTCGGGGCGCTGAACCGCTTCGCGAACCGGCTCGGAAATTATAAGTGACAAATTGCAACATCAAGATAAATTACAAATAAAACATATGAAATCAGCACATACGAAACGGGATACATCGTAGTGTAAGGCTCAGGGATTTCTACCAGGAATGGTTTCTTTATGTGCACTCAAAGGTTACCTCACCGACGTTTACGCATTCGGACTTCATCTAATTGGGTCCGACGCAGTGGCTGTAAAATCCGCGACCTCCTTACAAATCCACTTACAAGTAGAACTCGCTAACTATCCCGCCACCTCGGCGTGTAAGCAATTGAAGGAACAGTGGGGAGAAAATACAGCTTTCTTTATTTGAACTAGCCTTCGGTAACTCAAATTAGACCCTTAAAGAAGTTTTCATTAAACAAGATACGGAATATGAAAAACACTTCACCGAAAGCAACGCCAGAAGGACGTAATAGGATAAATAATAAAATAAAAGAGTTCGTTGTCTCACAAATATGTTAGCTTCTAAGTGCCTATACGAAACCGGATGCATTATTATCAAACTCCACAGTCTTTTCTTTTCCCATTCCGATGGAAGCAAGCTTCAAGAACTCACGCGTTCTAGAAACGTGTTATGAAATGAGCACGCAGCAGCATTTAGGATTTACGAGATTCTAGGAAAATAAAATCCAGTGACGGCAATTTTTTTTTTTTTTTGCACAGTCTTTCAATTTTTTTTCTTCCGTGCAAGCCGCGACCAGCGCAATACTGGTTCCTATGTCAAGATTCATGGATGCAGCGTTTGTCAAGATTCATGGATGCAGCGTTTATATTCCTAAGACTGAGTGGAGAAGAAAAATATGTAAGCGAGGTGTGTGTCAGTTGACGGCACTTAAAAAACAAATGTCATTGATAGCACATTCATTGTCAACAGCGCGTGGCCGAACCGTTTTGACATGAGCCGGTGACCGTTATTTTTTTTTTCCGGTTCAGTTCCGGTTCGGGTTCATCGCGATAACAATATAACGGTTCGGGTTCGGGTTCAGTTCCGGAAAAAATACCGGTTCGGTTCCGGTTTTCGGTTCGGTTCGGTTCCGGTTCGACACACTGATATATATATATACTTGCTTTTCCTGAGCAAAACTAGTTGAAAGTTAGCGCTTGTCCTGTCTACTCCATATCCTTGTTTTTTCTGCGCTATTTTATACGTTTAACTAAGTTGAACCAACTAGCCCAGCAACGTACCCTACTAAAATAAAATATCGCGCCACAACCCCCGCTTGCGCTTTTCACGAGGATACTAGAGTCCCTTTCAATGATGAGTACTAGTTGCAGTCCACTTAATAAGATGTATGCTGAAGCTAGCTAAACTGAACCTCACAAGAAAAAAAAATAGCCTTCATGTGCGCATCGAGTATACTCCCAACTCCGAACTTGCTCCCAAGAAAACGGATTCGACGAATTGGCCGTCAACGAATTGGTTTAGACCTTCCATTCCTTTACAGTGCATACTTTGAGACATGCATTTTTTAACTCCATACGCTATATTTAGGGTTCAACGTTTTCGGCTTGAGCCGAATAAAACCGGTAAAAGTACGCCGAATTCAGTTTTCCCATTTTGATTTTAACTAAGAAAGGTCAGTATTCTCGAAATCCTTTAGAGGGGTGCCTGGGGGGATGTGAGTCATTACTGACCGTATGACCCCTTCCTTTCGCGCAGTTTTCAGTTTGTCTCCGAGATCGGTTCAATTTTCAACAAAAGCTCCGGGGCCGCAGGGGTCTTCGGGAAAAGATTTGAGTTTTTCACCTGATAGTGATTTGTGTGCCGAATTTCTTGTTCAAAGAAGAGAGTTTAATTGTGAACTGAACAATGAAACTCAAGGGCGTCCGTAAACGCCGCACATTTTTAACAGCCCTAGCTTCCGTCTACAAAAGGAGGGCATAAATACGATTGTTTTATTGACGTTTGTGTGGTAGGCGCAAATTTACCACCTCTCGCAGTCGTGAAAATGGGGGGAAAATGCATTGAGCAGAATACTTTCAAATTTATGGATTTTGATATTTTCCTCTCTAACCAAAGTGTAGTGAAGCCCATGTTCGTTCTGTGTACAAATACGAGCACACGACGATAATGTCAGATCTTGCAGAACAGGCCGCGTCGGATGACACAAACAGCAACAAATAAAAAAAAAACAGTACCTGGTTTACTCACTATACCTTCTAATCAAGCGCTTTTAAATATGGCATTTTCGTAAGTATACTGATTTTCGTCAATAAACCGAAAGAACCCAGAAGTCTAAATGTTTACAAATATTCCCCGCAATAAACAGAAAACTTCTGTTTGGAATAAAAACCGAAAAAAAAATGTGCCGAATTTTAAAATAATAAAAACCGAAAACGCCAATCTCTACCTACATTGTCAGTGTTCTGTTTTGACTCTGTGCTCTTTTGTCGCAGTGCTGTTTTGACGCCGTTATCGTCTGTCGCTGTGCCTTTTTGGTGGTGTGCTGTTTTGTCGCTGTGCTGTTTTAACGCCGTGCTGTTTTGGCACGTGCTCTTCTGTCGCTATGCAGTTTTGACGCTGTGCTGTTTTGTCGCGTGCTTGTTTAATTAACGTGCGATGTTTTGACGCTGTGCTGTTTTGACTGTGCTCTGTTTTGTCGCGTGCTGTTTTGTCGTTTGATGTTCTGTCATAATGCCGGTCCGGTCATATGTACTTAAGAACAGGCACCCTGTGGCATGTAGGAGAAAACGGCCCCAACAAATAAGGACATATACAATTCCCCGAGGTACACATCGCGACACTGTTAGCGCAAACACGACATCGGCGCATTTTCACGTTGCACTTAGAAAGAGTACTAGTGGCAATGAAATCTTACCGTCTGCATTATATCCCCAAAGGAGTACTTTCATACCTTTAATACCTTCGATGACAACCTTTTGTTTCTATGAGAAACCGAGAAAAAAGAAATAGCGAACGCTTGTTCGTTCTAACAGTGTCGCGCTTTTTACCTCTTTGGAAATGGTACACAGGTGCCTCTCAAATTTCCCCGTACTCAATATTTTGGTTTTGGGAAGAAGTGGTATAAATGTTTATTTCACAATAAGAAAAAACGGTTGAGAGGCAATGTTACGAAGTCAGGAATGAAATGACACACTCGATTCATACACAGAAGTCAAAAGCGGATCGTACGGCCGACGGCACACACGAAATCTTCAATTCCGATTGCCCCGGCGGCGTACGTTTCGCAGAGGCTGCGAAGACGGCGTTGCATTTCGACGAGTGTGGACTTGCACCTCTTCTTGGGACCGACTCGATCGGGGGAAATCTTCATGGTCACGACCGATTCCTCGGAAGCAAAAGGCATAGGTAGCTTTCCATACCGATGAGTGGTTGTAGCCGACCACGCTTCCAAATCTCCGGTTCCATGCTTCAGAGTAGTGGTTGGTCCTGTGACCTCA